GAGCAGCTGAGAGAGCTGGGAAAGGGGCTCAGCATGGGGAAAAGTTGGCTGTGCACAACTCCCTGACAGGAGCGTGGAGAGAGGTGGGGTCTGTCCCTTCTCCCAAGCAACAAGTGATAGGACAAGAGGAAACAGCCTCAAGTTGTACCAGTGGAGGTTTAGGTTGGATATCAGGAAGAATTTCTAGACAGAAAAGGCTGCCCAGCCCTGGCACAGCTGCCCAGGGCAGTGGTGGAGTGCCCATCCCTGGAGGGATTCAGAAGTTGTGTAGATGTGGCACTTGGACATGGGGCAGTGGATTTGGCCGTGCTGGGTTAATGGTTGGACTCAGAGAGTTCAGAGGTCTTTTCCAACCTCAACACTCCTGTCCCTCAATCCTAAAACCAACTTTGGGGCAGGAATATTGCTTTGAACAACTTTTCTTCCAGACAGCGGTGTTGGAGCACTTGGACACTGCTTCCTTTGTGGAAAATCATTGGAAAATAGGGGTCAGGAGGCGGGGGTCAGGGTCAGGTGTGGGTCAGGTGTGTGTTGGACATGGGATGGACATGGGATGGACATGGATCAGACACGGGATGGGTGGAGTTGGACATGGTTTTGGTGAGGTCACACACGGTTTGGGTGGGGTCACGCACAGGATAGGTGGGGTCACACACGGTTTGGGTGTGGTTTGGGTGTGGTCACACACGGTTTGGGTGGGGTCACACATGGTTTGGGTGTGGTCAGACACAGTTTGGGTGTGGTCAGACACGGTTTGGGTGTGGTCACACAGGGATGGGTGGGGTCACACATGGTTTGGGTGGGGTCACACACGGTTTGGGTGGGGTCACGCACGGTTTGGGTGGGGTCACACACGGTTTGGGTGTGGTCACACACGGTTTGGGTGGGGTCAGACACAGTTTGGGTGTGGTTTGGGTGTGGTCACACACGGTTTGGGTGGGGTCACACACGGTTTGGGTGTGGTTTGGGTGTGGTTTGGGTGTGGTCACACACGGTTTGGGTGTGGTCAGACACAGTTTGGGTGTGGTCAGACACAGTTTGGGTGCGGACAGACCGGCGCTATCCCTTCAGCACCACAGCAGCTCCGGCAGCGCTGGAAGGGAAACCCCCGACATCCCCCGGCCCCAGCAGGACGAGCTCAATCCTCCCCCGTGCAGAGCAAAATAAAAAAAGAAAAAGCCCTTCTGGCGGTTTAGGTTTCATAGGGGTTTGTGCTGGAAAACAAATTAACCTAAGAGGATTTGGGAAATTCGAGCTGGGAACAAAAGACAAGGTGGAAGTGTCTGAGTTTTGAAAATGTGCCCAAGGCCCTGACCGGCAAATCCTTTCTCAGAATGCTCTTGCTGAGCCCTTTCATCAGCACTAAAAGAATACAGAGAAAATGTGCTTTTTGTTTTTTCTGCAGAAAAGATTACCTGGAAATTATTTTCAGTAAGATATTGGTTGTGCTTCTTCCTCTTCTCAAAAAAATGTTTCTGTTCATGGAATTATATCAGAAGAAAACTTTGCAGCCACTAAATCTGTGGATCTGATCTGGTAATTTAATAAAACCATCATTTGGTTTAATGAAGGTTGGAATTAATTAGTCCAAGACATATCTCTTGAACATTAATAATTAATCTTGGGCTGAGGCTGTTTCATAGAATCATGGAATGGTTTGGGTTGGAAGGGACCTTAAAGTTCATCCCATGGAGAGAGTGGTGGAAGAGTTTACTTAAAGGACTGGATTTCTCTTCCTCCAATCGTTTGTCATTTACTTTTGGCAACTTTCAAGTCTTTGCGCTGAACAAAGCAAAGAATTGTGCAGAGTAGATTGAGAATTTAAAAAAAAATCTTCATCAAGAAGGGCTGAGAAGCAGGAGCAAGAAAATGTTCTTACCAGACAAAGTTCCCTTGCATCATGTGCACAAAAACTCAGCATTTCATGTGCTACAATCCCATCTTTGTGCACTTTAAAAAACTCTGTTTTAGAGATCTCTAAATGATATTTCAGTGACAGACCAGTGCTGTGTATTCTGTGCATTGCAGTGCCTTTCAAAGGGATGTGAGACAATCTTATCTGCATCAATAGTTTGTGTTTCGTCTATTTTGCGTTTCCAAATATAAGAATAATTTAATGCTTTGTTGGTTTAGTGATGGGATCTGATTTGGGTTATCAAAGGAAGTGTTGTAAAAGCCTTGGGTGCCCTTCCTGAATGCTCCAACCATCGCTGTCTCCTCACCCAGGTGTTCTCAGCCACAGCCTGCCCTTGGTTCCACAGCTATGAAAGCAAAGAGACACAGCTCAGACTGCACAACCCCTCCCTAAATCCTCTCATTTTCCTGCTTTCCACCACCCCGGAGCTGCCTTGGAGCGTTCCTCGCTCCGGGATTCCTGCAGGGATTTTTTGGCAGAGCTGGGAGCTCCTGTGCAGCTCTGCCAGCACTGCCAGCAGAGGGGGAGAGTCAGAGACAGAGCTGGGATTTCATCCAGCATCCACCCAACTCAGTGGGAATATCCTCAAAAACAGAAGGAAAACCTTCCCACTAGAGTGATATTTTCCAGCTCCTGCCCACAGCCCCACCTCTCCTTGCTCTTTGATTTAGCATTTATCACTTTTTCTCAACAAATTAAAAAAAAAGAAAAAATTGCAAAAGGCCACATCTGGCCTCAGAAATCACGATGAAGATGGGAAAAAACCCTCCTGGAGCAGAACAAAAAGGCCCTGAGCAGCTCTGAGCAGAGACTACATGCCAGCCCTCATGCCCATAATAAATCTGCATTTGATCATGAGCTCTAAGTCCTTAAGCACATTGTAAAAATGGGGCAAATCCTCTTTGGGAATTTACTGACTTAAAAAAAAAGGAAAAGCAACATAATTCCATTTATTTTAACATCATTAGATGCTGAAAAAGAAACCCTGATCATATCATGGGATGTATTTCTGTTATTATCAGAAGGCTTGATTTATTATTATATTGATTATAATAATTAATTATTGATTATAATAACTTCTGTTATTTAAGCCTTGATTGCTGGGACATAAAGGAATCTTGTGCTGTGGAGTTATGTGGGAAATCAGAAGCTGGAATGAGGAATAAAAACCATTTCCTACTTTGCACTTTTTTCCCCAAGGAAGTCTAAGCTATTTATTGTCAGGATAATGGCACTGAGCTTGGATGGGGCAGTGGTGCTGGAAAATGAGGTTTTTCCACCCTCTGTTCCTGTGCCCATGAAGTAAAATAAAGTGAAATCCAGTGTATCCTATCATTCAGTATCAGCAACATGGTTTGGAGACTGGCTTCCCAAAAAATCCCAGAAAAACCCAACTAAACCTCAACCAATGAACCAAAACCCCTCCACAGCTCCAGGTCCTGTTGGGCTGGGGATTTTGCTGCTGGTTCCCAGAGCCAGAAGTTAACTCAGCCACAAGGAGTTTGTCTGCTTCTAATATGAGCAAAATAGAATTAAGGCACTTCTCCTTTCCCTCCTTTTTCTCCAGAAGATCCCTCTGGATTCCACTTTTTTTCCTCAGCCACTTCAGCTCTGGAGCTGAGATGAGGCAGCTGGGCTGGCCAGTGGGATTATCCAGGAGAAATCCATGAACTTGTCGTGAGGAATGTTTGCTTTCCCCAGCAGGCAGAGTGTCCTCTCCTGAGGATTCCAGCTCTCCCTGCTCCGTTGGCTCCCTGGCTCCCTGACAAGAGCTGGATCTTCAAAGCTCTCCTTGCCCTTTTGATGCCATCATCTGTATTTGCATTTCATGGCACCCAGAGCAAGCCAGGCAAATTCCTTTAAAGTCCAATTTATGCTTTGTAGAATTGCCAGATTGGGGGGGGAAATGCTCAGGAAATGGAGAAATCTCTGGGCTCTTAACAAACATTAAACTCCTGATAAAAAACGATGATAAATCCATCCTCTGCTGCCCCAGGTCACCTTTGAACAGCCACAAGGTTCTTGATCACTTTGACAATTCCCCCATTCTTTTAGAGGCCAGGTTTGTGTTTTGTTCTGGTTTCTTTGCCTGTTTATCTCTTAATCTTTGGGTAAATTGCAGCATCTGAATCTGGCCATTGTAGGAAGGGGTTCAAAGCTTCTCAATTCATAGCCAAGGTTTCCATTTCCTCGAATCAGACAACTCTTCGTTTATTTTTCCTGTGTTATGATTTACATTTCCAGGGTCACTTGGACCCATACTGACAATATTCCAATAAATACTAATTTATACCACCAATACTCCCATTCATTCCAGGATTCTTCAGTGGGGGAGAAATGACTGAACCTCTCTAGATGTGGTGGAAGGTTTGGAAATGTCCATTGGCCACATTATCATCCCTTGCTGATGGAGCCATGACCCCCAAAATAAACAGCTGGAGCTGGACACAGAATATATCCTAAAGGATGAATCGTTCTGAACATGAAAAAGTTCCATTCTATTATTTTTATATAAATCTATATCACAACAAATAAAAAAATATATTTGAGCAAGTGAGCCTAACCCTCTGAGGACCAGTTTTGAGCCACCACATAGCACACACATGAAATATTATTTAAAAGCAAATACTCATGTTTTATAAACAAATACTCATGATTTAAAAACAAGTATTCCCATCACACTGACAGAGCACCCAGAATAAACGTGAGATGAGTGTCCCTGTCCTTATCTGTGCTGTGGGAATTTGCCTCAGCAAGAAGTTTTCTTCTAGAATTCACTTTACCCAAGAGCAGAGAGAAAAAACATTAAGAGAAAAAGCAGGAAGAATGCAAATGGTACAACCAGACTGGGTGAGATCAGTGAAAGGGCTGATGTAAATGTAGATTTGCCCTAGTGCAGGGAGAAAAAGAGACAAACCTTCACAGACTTGAGCATACAACATGAAAATATAAACTGGATTTATGCAGTGATTAAGAGACACAATCCAGCCAAGCTGGCTGCTGCCAGGCTGTTCTGGCCCAACAGAAGAGCAGAACCCAGGAATGCGCAGGGATGGAAACGGAAAGGACACAAAAGGAGCTTTACCTTTGCTCAGGCAGCCACCAGGAAGTTCTTTGGAGGCTCCTCCGTGTCCCTCTGGCAGCAGCTCTGCAATCTGTGCAGAAAAACAGGGGCTGGGTTAATAATAAAGAAAGGCACGAGCTGTGAACGCCAAAGACTCGGGTTAAACATTGACTCTGGTTCTTGGGAGCGAGCTCGGGGGGTCTGCCCCGCTGCACCTTGAGGATCACCCAGGCTGCTCCTCAGCTCCTTCCCAGCTGGGACACTCCAGGCAGGGAGCTGGGGCCACCCTGCACATCCAGGGGAGCCTCTCCAAGGCAAGGAGCAGGAAACTCTCCCAGGTAATAAAAGCCCTTCATCATTCAAATGGTTCTGCAAATATTTACCCATGAGATTGGGTTTGGAGTTAGCCACTGATAGACAACTTCAGAATAAACAGGCTCAGTTTGTAGTAGGGTCTATTTTATTTATATTTTTTTTTTCCTGTAAGAAGTCTTTTGTTTCTAGATTAGCATGAGGTTAAGGTAAGGACTTCCAGCCTGCACAAGAAGTGCAATCTCATTTTCTGTTGAAATCGCACACCGTGTCCTTTTCTGTGCTGATGGAATTTGCCTCAGCAAGAAGTTTTCTTCTAGAATTCACTTTACCCAAATAGCAGAGAGAAAAAAACCAAAGGTGCAGGATGAATGCAAATGGTACAGCTGGACTGGGTGAGTTTAGTGGAAGGACTGATGTAAATACACAACTTCCCAGGGTCCTTCCTCTCCACAGGGAGAAAAGGATCCCTGGAAAAAGGTGAGCACAACCTTCATCCCCACACAGGAGCTCTGCAGCATCGAGACCTTTCAGAATGGTTTCAGCTTCTGCTTTTCCCTTTTCACATCATGTTCAGGCTGTTCACTGAAGATTAATGCAGACACTTGAAGATGAATTTGAACCATTTGGATTTCTGGGTATGGTTCGTGCAATCCCTGCCCAGGGACCACGTCTGAAGCTGGGGCATGAAATGAGAAGAGAAACCCAAATCTAAAGGACTGAATTGGAATGAGTGGGTCCAAGGTGTGGCAATGTGTCTAAATCCACGGTGGGTTTGTATTTAGATTTTAAAAAGCCAGTTTTGACTCTTTTCACGCCAGCTCAGCTCTCCAGCACTGCCCTGACCTGGAGAGAGGAGCACAACTCCCCAGAGCTGCCCAGCTCAGGGCAAAACTCCTTTTTCTGTCTGTTCTGGTGCTGCTCTGGGTTCTGTGAGGTGACAGCAGTCCCTGCCTGAGCATTTTCACAGCCCCAGGTACCCTGGAAATCCAGCCCCACTTTAGTAGTTCTGTAATACAAATTAATAACAATAACTAGACTTGACTGCTTGACAAAAAGCAAATAGTTCGGAAAAAGCTGTCTTAAATCTTTCTGTCCCACTTCCCCAGACCAAAAAAAAAATCTCTAAATGTTATTTCTTTTGGCAGCTGAAATCTAATCCTACCTTGGTTAACATAACAGAGAGAACAGGAAGCGCTGTGAAGGAATTTTTCATTCCCTGGGACGTCTTTGATCCCGCTCCCCTCCCTTTTCCTATCAGGTAATTTTCAAATCTCGATGTTTCCAGTTAGTCTACGGATCTTCTTGTTTTGTCTACTCCAGGCAAGCCTTATTTAACTCCTATTTCAGGGATGAAAAGCTGCCCTGCATTGAGATTTTGCTGTTGTGTAAGCCGGAACCTGAGAACTCCAGAATCCAGGAGGGAATCCGAATAAAATTCACCAATTTTTTTGGTGGAAAACCAATCATGGCTTTGCTTCAGCACAGGCAAGGGGCATTCAAACATTGCAGCAACCCCAAACAAACCCTTCAAGCATTTTCTGCTGCAGCCACCTCTTTTTGTCACTCAGTTTGACTTCCTGACATAGGGAGGGAATTTTCTTTCACCATTCTCCATCTCGGTTTGTGCCCACCTAAAATTTGCAAAGCTCCAAGCAAATTATTGTCTGATTAATATTTGGGGTTCTGGAGGAATGTGTCCAGCCTTTTTCCAGTCCCACGTGGAATGCAAGGCTGCATCTCTGCTTTGGGCAGTAAAACAAGTCATAATTAAAATATTTATGATCCTGAAAGGGCTGGATTACCACAGAGCAGCCTCCTGCTCATAACCAGGACAAGTCTGGAGCACTCCAAAGCAGGAGAAAACATAAAAATCATAAAAATGACACCAAGATCATCTCAGAGCAACACCACAGCCCCTCTGCCTGCAGAGGGGTAAAACACACATCCAAAACAATGCAATATTTCTGTGGAAGTGTTGTATCTTTATTCCTTTTTCTACTCTTCATCCACACTTTTGCTGTTGCGGTTCCACTTATCCCACAGATCACCAGGAAATAAAATTTCATCCTCAACTCCCTTCTCTTCATGTTAAAGGGTTTGTTTGCCATCACTTAAGGATCATTCTCTCCCACTCTCACCAGTTCCTGGGGTTTTTAAGGCTGTGAGGGAAGGGGAGATCAGAAGAAAGATGTGGCAGCTTTTCTGTTGTTTTGAAGTGAAGGAATAAGCTTGGAAAACGCATTCCCTGACTTTGTATCCATCACCTCCAGGACCATCAGATCCTTCTGGTGCACAGCAGGAAGGTCCTGCAGCTCCCAGTGCTCCCTGGGATCTTGAAAATATCCTTTCTGTCATTCTGGGATTTAAGACAGCACAACTGACAGGAAAAAGAAGTTTAGAAAGTCATTGGGAAAAACAAAAATCGTTGGCGTGATTCTGCAGGTTACTAAGACTTAATGATTTGTTATTTCCAATTTAATCTTTGTGCTTTCTCATGGAAGCAGACTGAGGTGAGAGTTCTTCATTAAATTAAAAAAAAAATCAAAAAAACCCAAAAAAATAATAAAAAACAACAACAAAAAAAAACCCCAGAACAATTAATGGAATGAAACTCGAATGCCAGAGTGTGCTGCATTGTCAGATGCATTTATGGCTTTATATTTTAATTTAGGGCTTAGTAGCCCTAAGGAGTCATAGGCTTGTGTTTCCCTGCCTCTGTGCCTTCCTGCCTTTCAAAGGGCCAGGAGAGGAATTGCTATTTTGAAAAGCAGCACAATAAAGTTTTATTAGACAGAGCAGGCTGGTTCTGTCCTGGGCTGGCCCAGTGGCAGCGCTGGATGGAGGAAGCTCCAGGCCAAGCACAATAAGGAGAGAAGCTCTGGAATGTGACATTGGCATTTGTCTCCAGCGGATTCCTCACCTTGGAAGGAAGATTTCACTCCTCAGGAAACTCTTTTCTTCCTGTTCATTGACAGCTGCAAAATAAGAGAGTTGTTATCCATCAGTTGTAGGGTTCAAAAATAGCTCTGAGCCCCACCAAGAGCCCCTTGGCAGCCCAGGAGAGCCCCCCTTGCTGCAATTTCTGGTGCTTTGGTTAAACTTTCAAATATCCTGAGAGATGTGACCCCTCTCATTTCCCTCTGCAGACTCTCCCAGCTAAGAAATAGTTTAAAAAGTTTTCCCTGCTAAATACTAAACACCCTCACCCCTTTACAAATGGATGCTGAGATGTTTCCTTTCCCTTTCGCCTGGCTGATTTTAATTTCTCTAATTCTTTGGCATATCTAGTGGGCGGAAAATGTTATAAATTAGTAAATTCCTTTCCTGCACGGAGCTGAAAAAGGAGCCCGGGGTCAGCTGCAGGTTTCACACGACTGTGGCCAACCCTGCTGCTCACCCACATGTAAAAATGCAAATTATATTTACCTGCCATGAAGAGGTAACATTGAGTAGCCAAATTCCTTTTTATAAGTATTCATAAATGCTGTTTGCATAACACATAACCGTAATCAGATTTTTTTTAGTTGGGCCTGTAATGAGATCTTGCAGATTGGCTGTTATCTAAAGGGTTTATGTTTATTAAACAAGTAAATAGCACAGACCAGCAACTTTCCTGGGGCCAGGCTGCCACCTCTTCACGAGCTTTTTTCTTCTTCCAACAGATCCCTTTCGGTGCCTTTCTCCATAGGGAATTCCTGGCTCTGTGCAAGGAGCTCAGACACCTTTCCCAGGAGAAAACTCCAGCAGGTGAGACCACATAAATCCACATTTTTCAGGGATATCTGACAGAGTTTAACCCCAGGCTAGGCTTGATACCCACATGTTTCACAAAAATTCGATCTTGGGACTTTTTAGACCTGAATGAATGTGCAAGAATTTCCTGAAGAATCTGTTTTTTTTAAATTTAACATCACTTTTGTCATTGTATTTCTAATAAAAGTAATTAGCAAAAGCTACACAAAATATTGTCTGAAGAGCATATTTATAGCATTTAATTTATAGCAAATGCTGTTTTAGTGGAGGTCACGACTGACAAACTGGAAAAGTCCTGATTTTAATTTTTCCTGGGAACTCAGCGTTTGTCTCGACAATCCCAACCCAACAGTTTCCCTTATCAGGACAAAACAGGGCTGTAAAAAGTGACGTGGGGAAAATGGTTTTCTTGTGAACTGGAGGAGATTGCTCACCTGGAATAAAGGTGACCTGAGCTTTCCATGCAGGCTGGAGCAGCTCCTGTCCATCCCGTTTCACGCACATTTCCCAGAGCTCTGAGGGCTCTTGCCCAGCGATGTCGTTTCTGATTAAGGGCTGAGCTAGGCCAAAACCACAGATCCCAAAACCTCTTCAGCTTTCCCAAAATACAGTTCTTTATGGGAATTCAACATCTGTCTCCACAATGAGCTGAGCCAAAGCCTGACCTCCACCACCGGTGAAATTTGGGGAAGTTCCTTTTCCCGTTCCAAGCTGGGTTTGCTCCCTCCAGAGGAGCCATCCCAGGAAATCACTCAGGGTGTTAATAAACCCACAAATAAAACTTCTAGGTGTTCGACATCCAGGCAGTTTGGTGCCAAAATGTTGTGTCCAGCTCCCTCCAGCTGATATCTATTTAGTGAACAGCCATGTGCAGCACCTCGCACACCCAAAGGGATTAACAGCAGTGGAAAGTATTTGAGGAATTGCAGGTGAGGCATTTCACTGTGCCCAGGGGGATTTTCTGTCCTGCTTTTCATAATGAAGACGGTGTTTTCACAAGGTCACCAACAGCATTCCGACCTGTCCCAAGAAATGCAGCCAGCAAAGAGCTGGGATCAAGGAAAGAAAGAATAGGAATGATATTGTTGTATCACTCAGCCTGTGGATAAAGCAGGCTGGGTCTCCAGCTGCAGAGATCCAAGGGATGGCTGAGGATCACAGGGATGCTGCAGCTCCAGCAGATCCCAGTTCTTTCATTCAGGATGCTGAGGTGGGAAATTTCTCCAGGAAAATTGATTTTAGAAATGTTTTCAGGGAGAACCCCTGGGCTGCTCAGCATCCTTCGTGTGCCTCAGCCACAGCAGAGAGCAGTGCCCTGCAGGCAAGGAAAAGGTTTGGCAACCACGGAGAAGTGAATAAATAGAGATGAAACAAAGCAGTGAGTTCCTCTGCTGGCAAATCATTTAATTAATACAAAGATTCCAATCTCCCAGGCAGCACAGGCAGGACACGACTGAGTAGACAAACGCTGTGTGTCAGGGTGTGAGCTCCCCGAGCTCGGAAACAGGGATTCTGTGTGTCACTGATGAACTGCTGAAACATCCTGAGATGGGAGAATCCTGGTGGGTTATCCAGGAGTGAGGGCATCTCCGTGATGTCCTGCTGTGGGGAGTGAGGGGCAGCAGGAGAAGGGCACAGCGCAGTGTTCCCTGCTCCTGGCGGAGCTGCAGGGGTGACACCCAGCCAATAACCCCCAGGTCAGTCACACACTGCAATTTCCATCCCATAATTGCCCCACGGGACACCCCAGGCTGTGCTTTTCCAGGGGATTATTGCACTCCACTGAAAGCTGCAGTCGCTTGGCCTTTGGCCTCCCAGAACCACCCAAAGCTCTCAATAATCTCCAGGGCTCTGCTCCCTGTTGTGTCTTTCTCAGACAAATGGAAAACACATTTTCACTTCAAACTAATCCCCATTAAACAGCGCTGAGACCAGGCAAACCCTTGAGCTGATTCTAATAAAAAAATAAGAAATAAATAAAAGAGAACATATTTAGAAACAAATTAGCCTTGTAAGTGAGGCACTGCAGGATCATTCTGTGAAACCACCGCTGGACAGATGGGATTTGCTGCTCCAAGAGTGACACCAAGCACAGGAAACTCAGACACAGGGATGAGCTGGGCTCTGCACAGCCAGCTCCAGTCGTGGTGTAAATTGGAGTGGGGGGCTTCTCAGTGCTGGGAAATGTGGGAGCATTGTGGGGTTTGGTGAAAGAGAGGAATCCTGAGCAGGCTGATGCAGGGAAGGGAGCTCTGGGTGCTGTGAGGGGTTCCCAGCAGGACATGGAGCTCTGGGGGAAACTCCAGAGGAGGGCCCAAGGTGATCAGAGGGATGGAGGAAAGCTGAGAGAATTGGGATTGTTCAGCCTGGAGAGGAGAAGCTTTGGAGTGACCTCACTGTGGCCTTGCAGGGCCTGAAGGGAGCCCACAGGAAAGATGGAGAGAGACACAAGGGCTGGAGGGACAGGACACAGGGAATGGCTTCAAACTGACAGAGGGTAGGTTTGGATGGGATATTGGGGAGGAATTGTTCCCTGGGAGGGTGAGCAGGGTGGCACAGGGTGCCCAGAGCAGCTGGGGCTGCCCCTGGATCCCTGGCAGCGCCCAAGGCCAGTCTGGACGGGGTTTGGAGCAGCCTGGGATGGTGGAAGGTGTCCCTGCCATGGCAGGGGTGGAATGGGATGAGCTTTAAGGTCCTTTCCAACCTAACCATTCCATGATTCCGTGATTTAGCCAAGCGTGTGCTGTGATTTACCGAGACACCAAGCAGAGTGTTACGAGTGGGAACCTCAGCTTTGTGTTTTTTATTAGCAAAGCCCAAGGAAACGATTTTTTTCAGCATGATCCCTCGAGCCCTTTCATCCCCACACCCTTTCTCCTGGGCCACCTTCACTGCAGCATCGATGCTGCCCCAACAGGAGACAGCTCCAGGCCTGAACACCTCCAAGGTGAAGCATTCCTGTGCCAACATGTCTCTGCTCCCCAGGAAATCCATCTCTCCCCAATCCATCCACCCAGGGACCGGTTTTGGATCCGTGGCTCCAGCTGTGGCGCTCGGAATGCGGAGCAGAGCTCTCCTTCCTCGCCAAGCATTGTTTTGAACATGGCTTGTGAGGGCTGGGCTTTGTTTGGGGCTGGCCTTTTTTCTGTTGCTGTTTTTGGGAGCTGCATGGAAAATGGCTGGGTGAGCTCTCTGTTCTGCTCCCACTGGAGCTTATTTTTAATTCTCCGTTCTCCACTTCAGGCACTGGTTACATCCAGAGATCATTTAGGATGTGTGAATGTCTTAACAGCCCATTCCAAACCCCACTGAGGCTTTCTCTTTCCTTCAATAGGCTTTGATTGGGCCACAAGTAAACAACCAGGAAATCTGAGTTGTTTTAACCTTTGTTCTGCCTTTCTCCTTTCCTGCACTCACTTCGTTACTTCATTTGTTACCTCACACCTATTTAAAGATAAGACTTCTCCCAGTTAAGAGCCATGCCTTGAATTTTTTCTCCTTTTAACTTTTACTGATTTTGATTTATTCGCTCTAACCACCTTCGATGGCTTAGATTTGTTAAGTGCAAATGCTGACAGAGTTAATTTCTGTCCCCACAGGACACAAGAATGTGCAGGATAAATCCCTGCGGGGCTGGGTTTGATTTCCCGTGGCTCGGGAGATGGACAGCACATTGGGATAACCCTGTTATCCTATGATATCCTGTTATCCCAGCCTCAGGATGGAGGAGAGCGAGGCTGTGGCTGAGGAGGGTCTGTGCTCTCCTGTTTGGGGAGGTGAGGGCAATT